TGGTTACAGCTTTGTAAGATGCAGCCTCTACCCATTTTGTGAAATAGTCGATAGCCACTAAAATAAACCGGTGCCCGTTAGAAGTGGTGGGCTCGATCGGACCGATGACATCCATTCCCCAGGCAACAAAAGGCCAAGGTGCACTTGTTGCATTGAGCTCATTTGGTGGTACCTTTATCATGTCTGCATGTATCTGGCATTGGTGGCATTTCTGGACATACCGGATGCAATCAGTTTCCATGGTCATCCAAAATATCCTGCTCGGAGTATCTTTTTGGCTGGAACAAAAACGTTCATATGTGGTCCGCAAGTTCCGGCATGTATCTCCTCAAGCAATCTAGATGCCTCTTTTGCATCAACACACCTTAACAGTCCTAGATCAGGAGTTCTTCTATACAGGGTCCCTCCGCTTTGGAAGAAGTGATTGGATAGGCTCCGCAGAGTGCATTTCTGAGTATGGTTTGCCTATTCTAGGTATTCTCCTTTCGCCAAATATTCTTTGATGTCGTGGAACCAAGGTTTTCCATCCGTTTCTTCTTCAACATGAGCATAGTAAGCCGGCTGGTTATGGATTTTCACCGGAATGGGATCGATGAAATTCTTGTCCGGATGTTGTATCATGGATGACAAAGTAGCCAGCGCGTCTGCAAATTCATTTTGAATTCTGGGCACATGTTTGAATTCTATCTTTGTGAACCTCTTCATCAATTCTTGCACATGATATAAGTATAGTAGTATCTTGGTGTTTTTCGTAGCCCATTCTCCTTGAACCTGATGTACCAGAAGATCCGAATCTCCAATTACCAGCAACTCTTGTATATTCATATCGATGGCCAAATTGAGCCCCATGATGCAAGCCTCATATTCTGCCATATTGTTGGTGCACGAAAACCTAAGCTTTGCGGACACCGGATAATGTTAACTTGTCTCTGATACCAAAACTGCTCCAATGCCCACTCCTTTGAAGTTTACAGCCCCATCGAAGAACATTCTCCATCCGTCGTAGGGCTTCAACAATGTCCTCTCCTATGAATGATACTTCTTCATCAGGAAAATATGTTTTTAGTGGTTCGTATTCTCCTCCCACAAGATTTTCAGCAAGATGGTTCGCCAATGCTTGTCATTTGACTGCCTTCTGAGTTACATAGATGATATCGAACTCACTTAATAATATCTGCCACTTGGCTAACTTCCCGGTTGGCATGGGCTTCTGAAAGATGTACTTCAGATTGTCCATCCTGGATATGAGGTATATGGTATAGGCACAGAAGTAATGCCTCAATTCTGAGCTGTCCATGTCAAAGCACAGCAAATGCATTCTAGCAAAGAAAGTGCTTCGTAAGGTGTAAACTTCTTACTCAAGTAATATATGGCTTGCTCCTTTCTTCCTGTCTCGTCATGTTGTCCCAAAACACATCCGAAAGCTCCATCTAATACAGACAGATAGAGTAGCAAAGGTCTCCCAGGTTCTGGCGGGACTAGGACTGGTGGTGTGGACAGGTATTCCTTGATTTTGTCAAAAGCCTTCTGAAAATCCTGGGTCCAGCTGGTTTCAGCATCTTTCCTTAACATTTTGAAGATGGGTTCACATATTACTGTGGACTGTGCTATGAAGCGACTGATGTAGTTGAGGCGTCCTGGGAAGCTCATCATGTCCTTTTTGCTCTTTGGTGGTGGTAACTCTTGGATAGCCTTAACTTTGGATGGGTCCAACTCGATTCCTCGACGGCTGACAATGAATCCCAACAGCTTTCCTGCGGAACCCCGAATGCACATTTTGCGGGGTTTAGTTTTAGATTGTACCTCCTTAGCCTGTCAAAGAACTTTCTCAAGTCTGCTATGTTATATGCGACCCTCTTGGATTTGATGATGACGTCGTCAACATACACCTCTAATTCCTTGTGTATCATGTCATGGAAGATGGTCGTCATGGATCTCATGTATGTAGCCCCAGCATTCTTTAGACCGAATGGCATCATTTTGTAGCAGTACACTCCACATGGTGTAATGAAGGCTGTTTTCTCTGCGTCTTCTTCGTCCATCCAGATCTGATGATATCCCGCGAAGCAATCTACAAAGGACTGGAGTTCATGCTTGGTGCAATTGTCGATCAGGATGTGTATATTTTGCAGTGGAAAATAGTCCTTGGGACTTGCTCTGTTTAAATCCCGATAGTCAACACACACCCTGACTTTCCCATCTTTCTTCGGAACTAGTACAATGTTGGCTAACCAGGTTGGGTATTCAACTACCCTGAGGACTTTGGCTTTGATCTGCTTAGTGACTTCTTCCTTGATCTTTAAGCTCATGTCTGGTTTAACTTTTTGAGTTTCTGCTTCACTGGCGGACACATTGGATTGGTAGGCAACTTATGAGCCACTATGGATGTGCTCAGACCGGTCATGTCATCATATGACCATGCAAAAATATCCTCATACTCTTTTAGGAAACGAGTGTATTCTTCTCTGACGGTGATAAGTGAATGCTTATGCGAGTCTCTTTGACGGTTTCGGAATCTCCCGAATTGATTGCTTCGGTTTCGTCCAGATTGGACTTAGGTTTGTTCTCAAAGTTCTCAACTTCTCTGACAACTTCCTCAGGTATTTCATCCTCTTCTTCTAAGTCACTATCCTTATATTGCGTTGTCTCATTACATGTCACAGTCATCGGTTCATCAGGAAAAGTAATAATAACGCTGTAGAAGAAAAATGTGAAAGATAATAATGAATGATAAATAGCAATGCATTAATTAAATTTGAAAATATCCAAAACAGGTACGGCTCGATGGCTCGAGCAATTATTTCAAAACAAAATGCGTCTTTAAAACAAAATTACTGAAAATATCTTAAATGCCTAGCATGGCTATTAAAACAAGTCAGGCTAATGGCCAAGCTACCCAGGAACTCGACGGGTCCGGGATGGTGTGGCAGTCCAATTCTTGAGAACAACTCCCTTCTCTACGGTCTGGATGGTGAGGCCTTCTTCTTCCTCCTCCTCCTCAACTATCGTATTGCAATCCATATTCTCATCTTCTAGGAACAAATTTCTCAACCCAGCCAAAGCTTCTTCTTTTGCAGATCCCCATATTGTGTCGGCTTGGTGAAAAGTCTGACTCAGGTGTGGCATTGGTTGCTCAAGAGGGTAATAAGGACCACGCTATGGTGGCGACCAATCTTTATATTCTTGCCATGTGTATAGATATCCCAGCCCGAAATTTGTGCCGTGACGTTTCAACTGTATCGATTTGGTAATGCCCTGGAGTTTCTTCCCAAGCCCTTTGCCAGGTTCATACCCGGACCTTGCCAATATGCTTTCTATTTTGTTACTCCACCACTTTTCCTTCTCAATTGTGTTGACATGTTCAATGTGATGATAAGTTTCTCCACCTAGCCTTCTTCTATTCTCGATAATTGGGATAGTTTGACTGGTGTAAATGGGGTTACTTCCATCCCCGTGAATGATTACCTCCTGATGGTTCCATTCGAATTTCACGGCTTAGTGTAGTGTGGAAGCCACAGCCCCAGCGACATGTATCCAAGGTCGTCCCAATGGAAGATTGTATGTATCTGATATGTCTAGTACTTGGAACTCAACATCGAACCAAGTTGGTCCCAAGACAGAGGTTAATCTCCCCAATCGTGGCCCTTTGAGACCCATCAAATGCTTTAACGTTCATGGTCCCTGCTCGTATCTCATGGAAATCTTTGCCCAACCTTTTCAGAGTAGTCAATGGACAAATGTTGAGGCTTGAACCCCCATCTATTAAGACCCTGGCGATGAATTTGTCCTCGAACTGTACTGTGATATGCAATGCCCTGTTCTGACTTAATCCTTCAGGTGGTAGTTCATCCTCGTGGAAGGTGATCTTGTGACTCTCCAGTACTTGCCCTACCATGTTGGCTATCTCTCCACTAGTGATATTGTTGGGCACATAAGCTTCATTCAACACCTTTATCAGAGCACTCCTATGCGTTTCAGAATTTTGCAATAGCGATAGGATGGATATCTGGGCGGGAGTCTTGTTTAAATGATCGGCGATAGAGTATTCTCTCGCCTGTACTTTCCTCCAAAGATCGTGTGGTCCAGTTTCAACGACAGGTTGTTTGGTAGCAGCCTCCTTGCTTGATCCTCCCAAATTTTTGGGTGTATAGATCCTTCCAGTTCTGGTCATCCCTTATGCGGCACCAGATTCTTCCATCTTTGCTTTTCCCTTTCGCCTAGCTTCGGCAACGTAATCCCAAGGTATGGCATTGGACTTGAAAGGAGGTGTGATTGCTACAGTCACTGTGAAAGGTATGGCCACTTCTACCTCAAATGGAACAGGTGTGGCTGCAGGTGGTGTTACTTCTACCTCAAATGGAACCGATGTGGTTACCTCAACCTCAACTGGCGGCTGTACCTGCACCACAATAGGATTGAGCGTGACTGTGGGCTTCTTAGGATCGTCACCCTCTTTGATAAGTCCAATTGATCCCTCGGGATCCCACTCCTCGTCAGTTTCTATCACATTGATCCCTTCGCCCCTATGATCTGGAAGAGGATTGTTGCGGACGTTGGGTGCAGCTTCCTTCGCCTGTATGACCTTATTATCAATCAATGTTTGGATCTTATCTTTCAATGTCTGGCACTCGTCAATAGTGTGCCCTTTCGTACCGGAATGATATGCACAGGTTTTATTCGGGTTGACCCATTGAGATGAATTCTCCATTGCCACAGCGGGAATAGGGGTGACATAACCAACATCCTTCAACCTTTCGTACAGCCGGTCGATAGGTTCAGCAATGGCGGTGTACTGTCTGGGTGGTTTGCGATCAAAATTAGGTCTGGGTTTTTGATAGTTTTGACGGGTTGGACAAAATCTACGGCCAAAGGGTCCTCAATAACTTAGTCCAAGGGCAAAGTCCAGATACGATCCTTGTTAGATTTGATAAAATATGTAAGCACTATCGAAAGAATTATCCAATTTAATTCACAAGCACACCATTCAAACAGCAGGAAGGAAGCATCTAAAAAAGCATAAGAAAATATTCAGGGGCATCCAGCTTTTGGACAACTCAGTTTTTGCACTAATAGTTGCTTGAATTTGGATCAATGTGAAAAGTGGGGTTTATTAACAATTCCAACAAATCCAAAAGGAATCCATTATGATTCCACCTTAGAAGTTAAAAATGGCTTTCAGCTTTAAGGGCATACTTCAACCACATTGCTACCTAGTTCAGTGAAGTAATTGAAGCAGCACGAAGGTGTTCTTTCTCAATTTTTCTTTGCCTTCTGAGGCTTCTTCTGCTTTACTGGAGGCGGAAACAGAGCACGAAAAGTCCATGCAGCCATTATTGCTCCTACGAAGGGACAGATCCAGTAGACGTAAAATTGCTCCCATGTGTTGTGCCAATTGTTTATGTACGCCCAACCAAATGCCTGCAAACAATCAGCTCAGTTACCAACTCATTAATAAAATATGCAGGCAAAAAAGGACAAGTGCATAAATTGCTACAACAGTGTCTATATGTATAGCAGCATGTGTTCAATAGAACATTTACTACCCTTGGACTTGACATGAAAGAGTCTCCATTTCTGAACATTCCAAAAGATTTGACACACTTTGAGTTCCTCTCTAAAATTTAGATATTTGTAATTACAAAAGAAAATTTCAAAAACTGATATACAGGGAGCGTCTGTGAAACTAAATTTAGTGTACAAATATGGATAGCGTTCAGTTTATCAAAGAATTGAGCTAACAATATCTCATCTAACAGCCACCAGTTGCTATTACTTTGGACTACCCAAAAATAGTACAGAAAAGGATAATTTGATGATTACTTGCATGTGACATTGATATTGAAGAAAAGAAAAACTTCATTCCCTGCAAAAGCTAATCTCTCCTAGTTCAGTGCCCTACAACTAGTCGTCAAGCCACAAGTTAACATGCAAAAGGTAATACTTATATGCAAGGAGAACTATTTAAGCTCAAAATAAGGCATAAGACACCCAACTAGGAAACTAATGGTTATTACAGAAAATGCAGGGTCATGTGGTTAGCTTGGTTGGTCATCTTTACTAGATTCTTGGATAGAACTCATTCCCATCCCACAAAAAAGAAAGTAACATTTGAGATTTGCAACAGCAGAGATGACTGCAACTAGTCGTTAGCCAGTAGAATCAATGCAAATAGAGATGTACGATTTGCATGACAAAGATACCTAAAGAAGGCAACAGTAAATCGCAGCCCAGTACAGCAAAGAAATATGATTGCTTAGATCGACCCATATCGCAGTTTAGATTAGAGGACAAATGGTACATAATGTCTGTCTAAATCCATTTTACATCATTATCTTATTCCATGACAGTTAGGCAAATACATGCATACACAGGGTTCAAATAGTTAATGTTCTATAAATTAAAACAGTTCAGATTGAAACGCATATGTTCCTAATATTTTGTTTTTTTGGGACTATGACCAAAGAAGTCATCTTTGCAATGTAAAGATATGAAATAATGAGTAAAATGAAAAGAGTTTATAGAGAAATTAAAAGATTGCATCTAAAAGCCAAAGTTTCTGCTCATATAGAAAGTTATTCAACCAAATAGCAAGAGATACACCTTGATGACCATAGAAAGCTCCTTTTATTAACAGTCTATGCAAATCAATTTCAGAAGAATCTGGCATCACGCTCCAACCAGCAAACCATTAATAAACCAAATGGAGCACATATCCATAAAATCATCCAATTTTTACCGTAACTCACATTCCCAATGTTACAATAACCAAAGATCGCCAAATATAGATGCTATAATTATGTGTATTTCAGATAACAAGCAAATAAAAACATAGGTTCAACATAGAAAAATCACCAAGAAATGACTCAACTCTACTTGGTCCTCTTCCAGACAAATGAAATAGGTCCAAGCCAAGGAAACTTTCGAGGCAGGCAAAGGATGAGATTTAAGATGGGACTGAAGATCTATTCTGGTTCCAAGGCAGTAATTTGAGAGTTGAAAGGGTCTTGTTTCCAAGAGAAGTTAGCTTACAGGTATTGAAACAATAGCGATAAATTAACAACTTTTAGTCTTAGGCATCTCTTGGTTTAAAAGAATTAGATTGAACTTCTCCCGCCTTCTATTACAAGCATGCCACCAATTTTACCTCAAACCACAGGAACTAATTCTGGCTCACTAATGTCAAGAGAAGATGTAACTTTCCAATCGAGAAGAAGCGTGATAACAAGTAGGCTTCATGAATAAAGACAGTCGAACACAAATGCACAAGAGAAGTTACCAAAAAGTTATACATTCTGTGTATACATTAGGGACAAACAAATGGTGCTTCGTCAGTCTAGAGCAGCAGAGAAATTCAAAGGTTAAATAATAGAATAAGCTCCAAGATTTACAACAACAACAACCCAGTGTAATCCCACTAGTGGAGTCTGGGGAGGGTAGAGTGTATGCAGACCTTATCCCTACCTTCAAGAAGGCAGAGAGGTTGTTTTCGGTAGACCCTCGGCTCAGGAAAGGTAAAAGAAGGACAACAACAAGCATATCAATCGGAAAACCGAAGCAAAAAGACAAAACTAACCGTAGGTACCGTAATCAGAAAGCCGAAATGAAAGCAACAACAAGCATAAGTCAAGGGATACGACAATACACAGACAGGACAACGCTCGGCTACCTATCATAACCCTTTACCTTTAGTCTCAACCTTCATACATTTATTCTCAACCTCCATACACAGACAATAAGCTCCAAGATTTAAGAATGGAAAACAAGAGCTAGTACTTACATTGGCGGGATTCATAGACGGTCCGGTGTATTTTGAACCTGTAACTACCATGGTAACAGTTGACATTGCAAGTAACCAATTCTTTAGAAATGCATTTCTAGGACCCCTCAGTACAATAAGAAAGACCAGAAAGGTCATTATGAAAGTCAAGATCCCCTCAGCAATGGCTCCGTTATGCAAGTCAACTTTCAATGAAGGTCCACCTAGCATGTGCTTGTACTGCGTAGGAATAACCTCCAATATCGCCAATGCACCAGCAACTGCGCCAGCTGCCTGTAACAGTACCCAGACAGTTAAGAAATATTTTCCAAATATCAAGATTCGGATGGTCATTCTTACAGGTAAATTTTTTCTCCTTTCTAATTTTTCTGTGGTGTCAATTTGAAGCAGATGCATTCTTGAACTGAAAGTTTTAAGAGTTATTTCACAGAATTCTTCAACTTTTTAATGAAACAGAGTTAAATGTACCATGAAATTAAGCAACTTTAGGTGCTCTATCTTATTGAACTCTAAAAATAATAATTTATGTTCTTAAAGGAAAATCAAACACCGCTAATGTGAGTTTAGCATCAGAGGTCTCATGCATAAATAAAAAGGAGGGAAGAGGTAGGTTAACGGCCAACTTTAGACAATTACGACATGATGAACTTTCTAAATAAACAGATCTCTTTCCATCATCCACTAGTACAATAGCTGTCTGCCGTAATTTAGGCACCCAGGCTGACAAAGTTTAGCAAAACCATATAGATAGCGGGCTACACCTAGCTTAGTCTATCCGATATGAGGTTTAGAACGAGCTTCTTCTTTGCAGATATTTCTTTCTCTGTAGAAAGTCAAGTATACCCGTTCTCGGGCAGAGCCCATTGTAAAAGTATTGTTTCACTGGAATGCTTGATTGAGAATATTCTCCTACTAAAAGAAACTTTTCATTCTTATAAGATACGGCTACAACCAGAATGAAGCAGTTCATATTGCCAATTACTTATAAAAAAACATAATGCATATTCATTATAAAGAGGTAAGTACATCTTTTTAAGGCTTCATATAGCCAACCCCAACGAGTTCAAACTGAGGCTTAGGCAGGGGCGGAGCGAGTAAGAGGGGAAAGGGTTCAATTGTATCCCCTTGGAAAAATAATTTTTTAAAATTATATACAAGCTTTTGAATCCCATTGCCATCAGGCAAAATTCTAGCCTAGTGGTAAAGAGGGTACAAAGGTTGTTTTATGTAACGATATCGAATTCCAACTATGACATTCTAGTAAATGTTTTATTTTCCTGAATCCCCTTATGTAAATTCCTGGCTCCCCGACTGGGCTTAGGGATTGATTAATTATTGAGGAAATTAAAACTCTACTTTCATTATTATTCAAAATTCAAATACGTAACAAAAAGAAAGAAAAAAAAAAACCTGAGCAGGAAATCGAGCGGCAACAGAGAAGAGAGAGTCGGTTCCAACACCGGCAGCATAAAAGGCGGCCGTACCAGCAGGATTAAAAGCGGCACCACCCAAAGCATCACCAATAATCCCAAACACAAAAAACAGAACAAAGAGAAGAACAGTAGTAATAAACAGAGTAGTGATTCCTTGAGCAATTCCAAAAGCAGAAGCAATTAGGTAAGTGAAAATCCCAAGTGTTGATGAACAAAATACCCACATCGATGTTAACACAAAATCAGCCACTGCTGCTTTTACAGCACCCATTTTGATTTTCAATCAATCAATCGACTGTAGAAATTTGTCGATAATTTATATTTGGCTACTGAATACTGAGATGATGATCAACCTAATAGGGGATAAGGACGTATATAAATATATAAATATAAATTAAGGGATTCATTAGAAGTATATTTGGTAGGAAATTTGGTTTGTTAAGGTTGTTTATTTAATAATTACTCATATTCTATTTTGGGTTTATCTTCTTCAATTCGATAATGATTTGTCCGCTAGAGTTTCGCTGGTTTCATTAAACTACGGACTAAAAGTATTTTTTTCTTTTATTAACCATATGGTACGTGGAATCTTTTTTATTTTTATTTCTTTTATTTAGATTTGATGTTCGGCATTCACTAATATGACTATTTTACTCTGATTAAAAATTGATTTAGAAGTATCATAATTAAAACAAGAGGAATTCTTTTTTAATTTATGAGGTTCAGATGTTTAATTTTGAATGTAGAGAACGAATCCGTGACTATGTAAACTAATATTGATGAGCGTTTGGTGAGGATTAGGACATTAGCATGGTATTGGCTGCTTTTAGTGTTTTAAATATTCTATCAATTTTATTTTATCTGATAATGTTCATTATGTTCCTTGACTTGAAGGCATGAACAATCTTATCATCATGGTGGGACTTATTTATATTTTTATTTTTAACTAGTAAATGTTTAACCAAAAATATAATTTCGGTTAAAACTAGAATTTGAGATGAAAAATCGGGTTACTGATAATCAAGAGACCAGAAAAGAATAATAGGCTTTCTGAGAATAATAATAAAGCAGCGAGCAAGTTTTTATTTCAGTATGACGTCGACAATGATCTTTTCCCAATACAACTTCCTCCTTTTATAGTTGATTCTAGATAAAGGAATGAAACCTAAGCTTTAATGAGACAATTATGGATAATAAATGATATTAAATGAGTCGTTACACAATCATTCCTATTAAATACCAATTTTCTAACGTATCAGGTATTTAATACTGAATTTGGACTCCTTTTTGTCTTCAGATCCATGTTTTCAATGCCTTTTGATCCACTGGCTTTAAATGACTCGAATTGATACGAGACTCGTATCTAAACTGCTTCTCGTGCCTGTTTCACTTCCTCTTCTCGTACCTGTCATCTCCCGTACCTTTTTCTTAATTGTTATACTTTGACTATTTGTCCAGTCCACGTGTCACGCCACGTCATCTTCAATATAAATTCAACTTTTTCCCAATACAGATAGTCCCCCCACTTTCCATTTATTTATCAATTAAATATTTGGGAAGTGGATCTTCATTAAAAAGGGAATTTTTGCCATAATCAATGCGATGACAGTATTGCCTCTTCAATTGTCTCTTCTATTTAATGCACCATATACGTGTCGTCTTCTCATTAGTTCTCGATTTTGCAGCCTTTTTCTAAGGCTTTTGTAACTCCACTATTCACGAAGTGATAGTTGCCTTTATTATAGGCTTTCCATCATTACACTTTTTAATTACTGACGGTTGAGTTTATATATAAACTTGCCCCTTTTCTTTCTTTGTCTTCTTCTCCATAAATCTTTAGCAAACGTTTTTCTTCCTTATTTTTGCTTCCCTTCGATTCATCTCTGCTCAACAATGGCGTCTCCAAATCCTAACCCTAGAAAAGTTCCTATTTTAGACAAATTCCCCAATGCCCCTGTTAGACATAGAAGAGACAGAGGAGGCAGACTCCATACAGGGTTAGAATCTACTCGAGGCGGCTCTTCTGGTTCTTCTTCTAGGAGTTCTATTCTGAAAACTCCTTCTTCTATGAAATCGTACCAAGTGATTTATCTTTTGTAAGTGATAGACAATCCCTCCAAAAGCAAGTTGCTGGTTTAGACAAAACTGACACATATCCTACATTAGTGACCGAACTTACAATCCCTACCATCAGAGGAGATTGTAACTGGAAAAATAGTCTTTGAATGTCAATTCCTTCCATAAACCAAAGAATTTCTTCTTTTGGGATTGGATACTCTTTTGTCTATACTTACCCTTTTACTGTGGGTTTTAATCCCCCAATTGACCCAATCATCCTCGATTTTTGCCGTTTCTTTAATATTTGTCTGGCCCAAGTTGGTCCTTTAGTATGCAGAGCAGTGGCTTGTTTGAGATATCTTTCTACCAAAGCCACTGTTAATTTCACCTTTTCTCACCTTATCCATTTATACCACCCTAATTTGATACGTCATGGAGTCTTTACCTTAACTGCGAGAAGTAAGAAGGTTTTGGTAAGTACAGAAGATGACAATGATCGTGGATGGTATGCCCGTTACGTTGTTGTGCGTACGGTGGATTTACTTGGTGAAACAAATATTCCCTTCCCTGAGAAGTGGAATTTTGCACGTAAGTTTTTTTTTATTTGACCGTACCTCTTTTTCTGTTGAGAATTTCGATTCTTTTTCTAAATTTGTCTCTTTTTGGTTTTTTGTAGCAACCATGGGAGATGTGGAACCTGTTCCCAACTTTCGTGGTTGGGTAGATTCAATTTTGAAGGTTGCTCCTAAGGAGCAAAGAACTTGGAAATCAATTTCCGCTTTACATGGCTGGAAAGTTAAAACACACGGTATCGCCTTTTTTCTTTATACATTTTTCTTTTTGCACATTAAGTACTTTTTTCTTAATGTTGATTGTGTATTCTTCTTTTAATCAGGATTTGGTAACAGAGGAATGACAGCTGATGTTGTCACAGCCCTTCGCATGTCTGGTAATGCTGCACTTGACTTGGACAAGACTCGAACCTTGCTTCAAAAAAGGAAAGCTATAGGAGAAGGTTCTAAGAATGAGGAAGAGGGAGGTACCTCGTCAATAGCTAGGCCACGAATTAGGAGACGAGTTATTAATGATGATGAAATTGAAGATACTCCTGCTCAAACTTCGACCACCGAGCCTGTTTTGATTCCTTCAGATGAAGACACCGTGCCAAGAAACACAAATGAATCAACTCAGCATCTCTTTGATAGTGGTTTTGAGAGTGGCGAGCTCGGACCTGTTTTCGATGAAGTTCATCTTTCTTCATTCGCACCTATTTCTTCCATTCCTTTGCCAACCGTAAGTGTTTCTTTGCCAGCATTGACTACTTCTGTTCTTTCACCAGTTTTAATTGCTTCTACTTCCATTCCTATGTCTACTTCTTCCGTTCCTGTTCCCACTCCTACGACTCCTGTGGTGTTTAACTTTTCTACTACTCCCCCTTCCACTGTTCCATCTTCATCTGTCCCACATATAGAAGTAAGTTCCAGCAATAGAAGCATGACTATGAGGAGTGTCACACTCGAAATCCCTGCTAATCAAAGCCTCTTAAGAAAATCTGGGAGAGCTAATACTTGGCTCCAACCTCTTATTGGAGAAATTGAAAAGAATAAGATGCAAAGCCATAGTTGTTACACTTTGATGAATGACATAGTTCATTCAACTTTGAAGGTAATTTTCTTAACCTTGAATGCTTTCCTTCTTTTTCTTTCTAAGTTCTCACTTCTATGCTTTATGACCGTAGGCTAATCTTATTGGGACTGAATTGATGGGGCGAGTTTCTACATTGGAGAAAAAGGAACGAGAGTCTACAAGGGCTCTATCTGAGGCTAGGAAAATAGCTGAGGATGCATTATTTGAGGCAGCAAACTGGAAAAAACAATTTGAGAGTACCCAAGTGACTGTAGAAGAGTTGCGGGAGAGCAAGGCTCACTTGGAGCAACAAAATCATGGCTTAACTTCTGAATTGGGAATTGCGAATGCTTCTTGGGGTCAGCTTAAAGAGGATAAAGAGCTTCTAGAACGTTCTTTATCTAGAGCCAATGATGAGATTAAAGAGCTTAAAGCACTCATGGAGAAGAAAGAAGAATATGCAAAGGAGTTAGCTCAAAACTTAAGTCATGCTCAGAATGATTTAAGAATTTCTTCTGATAGAATCCGTGCCTTGGAAAGTTCTCATGCCTCTCTTGAAGCTTCCCTGGATTCTCATTTAGCCGAGCACCAAATAATGAAAAATGACCTTGCTATGTGGGAAAAGGAATACAAGGCTTTGGAGAAGGAATATAATGCTCTTGAAGAAAATTTCAACATAGACGTGAGTTGGGCTTTTCTAAATTCTCGACGTGATGCTTTAATGGAGGCTACACAGGAAAACTTTGACTTGCAATCTGAGTTGGCCAAAGTCATAGACACTATCGAAAAAGGTCAACAACCTGCTGATACTCCTTCTCCGGCACTTGGAACTATTGACACCCCCTCTCCAGCACTTGAAGCTCCTGGAACAGAAGAGTGTTTGAACTCCGAAGCAGTTACTGAGGTACTTGAAGTTATAACTCCAGCTTCCGAAGTTGAAACTTCTATGACACAGTCTATGGAAATTGAAGTTCCTGTGACTGTTACTTCCCTCGTTGATGTTATCTCTTCAAGCTCAGCTGAAATCGCTCCTATTGCTGCTTCGTCAGAAGTTATAACCGCACCTGTTATTGCTTCAGAAAGTGATGTTACAACTTTTAATGATTGTTAATGTTATCCCTTGGCAATTTTGAAGGGATCTTTTGGTGAAGTCCCCAGTTACCATAATGGGGCACTTGTAAGACAAATATTTTGGTGATTTAAGTTTTTCCTCAGTCTTTTATGTTAAGAAATAGTATTTCTTTATGTTTTATTCTTGCCTATTTACTTATTTAGGACTTATAGAATAACTTAGCATTTTAATTCTTTGAAAATGCTTTATGATTCTTCTCATGGAATATCAACATGAGGCTTATAAAAGAGGGCCCTTTTATATATATATCGACACTTAATGAAGAAGACGTCTCAACTTCATAATGGTGTTATAATACGATGAAAGAAATAGGAATACACATGTTTTGTATGCTACAACTTCGACAAGTTTTTATTTATGAACTTGAACAAACGTTGACATGTATTAAAGTACATCTATAACTTTCTCGCAACTGTTTTCCTTGTAACAGATTTATATAAAAGAAGAACAATAGATATGAGGTTTTTCTTTATAACCCGTTTTAGTACATAGTCCCGACCCCATCTTTAGGAAGGGTTTGAGAGGTGACTCCATTGTTCCCATGGTAAAGAATACTATGATGTATGCTTATGCTTGGATTCCATAACCTCTGCTCTACACTTGTCTCTTGATTTATGCATCTATTTTCCGTACGTATCCGTTCTGTGTTTATTGTACAGTCCCCAAGTGTTTGAGCTGTGAAATATAAAGCCTCAAGCATTTGTTTTTCCTCTTAACTTGGTCCTTTTCCTGAAACAGAAAAATTTGCGGGACTCGGAGGTTCGATTAGAGATGAAGACTGCCTAACCCGTGTATTTTTCCATCAGATTACTTGTAACCCTGGGCTGGGAATTTAAGACTATTCCCTTTTGCCGTACAGGTCGTGACTCATCATTTGGCACGAGTTAGGGTTTTTGCCTAGCATCTAAAATCGTTAGTAAAATTGTTAATGATTAAAAAATGAATTTTAACATAGAGATACCTGACCGTGGATACTTTTCTCAAAAGTAGTATCTTTTTAGATGGACAACATTCCAATGTGAGGGTAATAGCTTGCCATCCATTGTCTCCAACTCGTATGCTCCTTTCCTGCAATGTCACGAACTCTGTAGGTCCTTCCATGTTGGACTCAGCTTTCCTGAATTAGCAGCCTTTGTAGATTGGTAACACCTTTTTAAGCATGAAACGTCCCAATTTTAAGAATCTGAGTCGTG